AATAACATAGCCGTTTGGCTTCGATGCCATTACTTTAGAGCCATTTTTTGAGAAAATAGTATTGTATGGACGGGTCTATCGCACCGTTTTTTGGGAAAATGGTTTTTTTTTTTTTTTTTTTGTTTTGCATTGTATGCTGCCACATACAATGTTTTTTAGGGGAAATAACACTGGTTTAACTTGGTACCTGTGCTGTATAATCGTCTTCATTTTTCAACATTGGTCTATATTATCCAATACTTCAAATCATGTCATATTGGTGCCATGCCATTGTATTATTGGCAACAATAGTTCCAAAGACGAGAAAACACCAAATTTGACTTGTTTCAGACCACGCATTCCTGAATTCTAAAGCACGGTCATTTTCTTTGTGTTTTCTGGAGCAATGGTCCCAAACAAACTTGCATTTCTTGGTGCATTGTTTTTTCCAATATAGCAGTGACGTGAAACCACTTTTTGAGGCAACGACATCAATGCCAAACACCACCATCTTTTGATTGAGAATAGATAATCAAATTTTATTCAGAGGTGTTTGGCAATTCTTTTTATGTGGTTTTTGGGTTTTTCAAAGTTTGGAAGATTGAAATTTAGTTTTTTTTTTTTTGTTTGGAAAAGAAAGATATAATAGAAAAACCTATACCCTTAAAATGTTCATGAAAACCTAAAATGGCCAAAAATAAAAAAAGTTTCTTTCTTTTTGCTTCTAAAATCTTTCATGTAACAGCTGATAGACTAAGATACTTACCAAAAAGTCTAGACTTTTAAAACAAGACCCCAAAAGCACATCATCATATTTCTTGATAGTTGGAAGAAAAAGCTTATTAAAGGACATGAGATTGAATCTTATTAAATACTGGATCAGAGTAACTATTTCCTGTTTTGTAAAAACACGTTTATCCATATTTCCGGTGACGGTTTTCGGTGGTTGAGACTGGCGATGGTGGTGTAACTCTAGTAGCGACGAACGGAGATATGGCCGAGAGTTGTATTGGTAGGTGGTCACACGTGACCGCCCATTTGTACTATTTTGCCAAAAGCATGAAGTATAAAAAACCAACTTTGTGCTTTTGGGGATTTTTATACTTTTAAAAAGTATTAAAGCAAAACATAAAGTATATAATACAAAGGCTATGTATGTGTTTGGTTCCTTGGGCATTTATGGATAGGCCATTTATTTGTATTTATCACTTTAAATGTTTTTTTTTTACTTGAAATGTTTCTAATTTTTCTTGTTTGATTGAGTTTTACTTTAAACGTTTCTTATTCTCCACCTCAAATTAATACCCATTAAAGTGTGCCACATCAGCATTTGGTTTCAAAAAACACTAAGGCATTGGGGGAAACCTGAATTTGACATTCCCCAAAATGTCCCATGCACAAAAATCAAAACATTTCAATTTCATATCATTTATTTGATAAATAGTGAAACAAAAGAGTTGTTTTATTTTGATTCATCTATTGTGAACACCAACGCCTATATGGCACTGGCATTTTTTCAATAAATGCCCACAAAACCAAACACTTTACGCTAATTTTATACTTTCAAAAATATAAAAATACTTTAATAAAAATTTATCCAAACTAGGTCTTATTCACCCACCCGCGAAAACTCAATAAGCCTAAGCCTTACACATTGCCTGTGTAAATTATCACCCTACGAACCCTATCTTTTAAAATAGGGTAAAACACAAAAACCTCCCCTAAAGTTCCTGACAATAATAAAATTCTCTCCTATTGTTTAACTTTAGCAAAATCCTCCCTTCTATTTTCAAAAAAATCCACAGAAAACATCTCTTCCGTCAATGATGCAGGCAGAAAAGGTTAAACTGAAGATAATTTATTTTAAAATACCTATTTTACCCCTGCTTATTTCGAATAACCAGTTCTCAGGGAATTTCCCAGAAGAAGTTGGATCATTGAATAATCTCGTTGAGTTCTATGCTGGTGATAACCAGCTAAACGGCCCGCTACCTGCAACACTGGTGCATCTTACTGAACTCACCACACTTGATCTTTACAATAACCAGCTCTGAGGTCAGCTTCCATTGGGAATCCGGTCAATGAAGAAGCTCAATGAACTGAACCTCTCCAATAATAGACTAGCCGGTGAAATTCCAAAGGAACTTGGGACATCACCGGGGGCAATCTTTTCTCTGCTGAAATCCCACTTGAATTGCAGAACTTGAAGCTTAATCGTTTCAACCTTTCAAACAACCGCCTCTCTGGAGATATTCCTCCTTGCGTGGATTTCCTCGGCACCATCAGTTACTCTGACTCTTTCGACTCCTCTCCCCGTTCCAACAACGTAGACAGCTGGGATGAGCCTCTCCCACAGGTTACTGGTGCTAAACTGCGCCTCATGTGCAGCTACGACGGTCACATCGTTCCACGCCCTCACGACAAGTCTCTTTGCTACCTCGGTGGAGATACCCGTATCGCCGTCGTGGACCGCCACTCTTCTCTCGCCGACCTCTCTGCTCACCTCTCTCGCAGTCTCCTCAATGGCAGCTCCTTCACCCTCAAGTACCAGCTCCCCAACGAGGATCTCGACTCCCTCATTTCCATCACTACCGATCAAGATGTCGAGAATATGATGGAAGGGTACGATCACACTTCAGCTTCATCGATTGGCTCACTACTTGATGACTCCGTTGGATTTTAATTTCATAAGAGATTAAATTCAATGGGTTTGATTAGTCAATTACATAAGAAACTGTACCTACACACTTGATTGAAAAATTAACTTTTCTCTTATAAAACTCAGTTTTGAATTTGTCCAACATTGGAAAGTTATAAGCTTTGTTTTTATTATTTTAATAGGATCTGATTTACACTCCTTAGAAATATTAGGGGAGAGTATGGGGGTTTGATACCGTGCAATGCGTGCGTATACGTGTGTGTAGCACAATGAGGTGCTTTAGAGGCGCACTTTGCTCGCACTCGCGTGATTGTTCAAGGTGCATTCTCTAAAACAATATCTACCTTTTCTTCATACCTCTTCATAAACTATTTAAGAAGCATCAATTAGACTTCAAAAACACACATTTTTTAAATCCACTTTCTCTCTCTCTCCCAGTCCTGTCTGCTACAGTCTCATAGAAGGTTTCTCCGAAGATTCTTTAACTTTGCTGGTTGCAGATTATTGCCCAATGCTTTGTTGTATCCTGGGAACAGATTTGCCTATAACCCAACAACAAACTCGATGAAACAGAGTGGGGGCAAATAACGTTCTAAAGACGGTGTCTTCAGACGCGCCTCAGAGCTTATCCTCCAAAATTATAGTGACCCCATTTTCCAACAGACTCAAAGTCAGAGAACTGATTCATCAAAGCTCTCAATGGTGCTGGGATTCTTCCGATTGGACTTTCATTCGATTCTACTTCGGTTAATTGCTTGCTCGGTCTGGATGGTGCTCATGTCGATTTTTCTGTTGATGTGGAGGCTCAAATAGAAGCATTGGGTGGTAACAAACAGGTTAAACCTGGGCAAGATGTTCAATCCATGCCTGATTCACCGATGTTAGAGACAAGTTCGTCTTTTGGGTCGATGTCCTCCTCCTCCTGTGTTAAATTTGCCTCCAATTCGGGTTTATGTGGAGGATAGTGGGGCTCCGTTCCAAGACTAGAAGGTTGGATTAGAGGATCATTTCTCACAAATGACCATCAATATGCTGAAGCAAGATGAGGGCTTTGCTGCTTTGTTGTCTCCCCCTCCTCTTCTGACGACTATTACTACTACAACAATTCCATCAGCTGTCTACAATAATTCTACAGTTGCTGTTGGAAAATACTACAATCGAGTTGTCTCCGACGACGAGAGATCCGATCATGGAACTCCCGGTGGCTTCCGAAGACCAACACAGCCTCCAGTGCCGACGTAGTTGCAACAGAAAACCAGTGGTGGTGTTGATTTGTCGAGGAAACCACACGAGGGATAATGCGGTCGGGCCTTGATTTGCAAAAGTTCCAGTTTGAGGGATTTTTCCAGTGAGGTTGTTATGTTTCAAAATCTAAGCTTTTTTAACGTTTTTCATCTGCATTATTGACGGAAGAGAGGTTTTTGTCAATTTTTTTGAAAATAAAAAGAAAAATTTTGTTAAAATTAAACTATGTGAGAGATTTTTATGATTGTCATAAACTTGTAGAGAGGTTTTTGTATTTTACCCTTCAAAATACGTGAACAACATTTGCCATGAGTTGCCCGGCACCGGAAAACGAATAGGGCCGAAAATCAAATGGTGATCGGCTACCAGTTATATTTTGCGGTTGGATGGTGTTTGCGTCATTTACCACTATGGATGATGTCATACCCAACTGAACATGGGGAAGGAATCCCGTAGACGACTCTGTACGGTTGATAGAAGGCTTTTGTTGTTTGAAAGTGGAGATTTGTTCCAACGTTTCAAGAGACTCTTTTCGAGTTCAAAACTTCAATACTCGGATCTCCTGCCCACAKGAGGAACCCTGCCGTCTACCCACGACATGCTACTCTCCCTTTGACTCTTGTATAATATTATGTAGGGGATGAGATACTCTTCCTATGTGATTGCGATAAAATGGGCAGACTTTGTATGGGCAGGAGATCAACGTTTTCTTTCATTCAGTGTATATAACTGTTTTAAGAAATAATAATTATACTTTCTCTGCTTCTACTCTGGTAAGTGGTACCAGTTGACACCAGACCTATTTCTTACAAAAGGCGTCACATTAATGGGAATATCTCATATTTTTAATTTATTATTTACGGGAGATGTTTCTAATTCACCGTGTTGAAGCGCCCAAGTGTGACGAGCAGATCCCGGTCCGTAACGGTTTAAAAAATAAACAATACTTCTTTTTGATCGAGAGCAATTGAAGCAAATAAAGTGAGAAACGCGGAGGAGCGGTTGTAGGGTCCATTTGCAAATTGAAAAGGGGAGCCATCGCCTATCTGCTTGTCGGAGGGTTCCACCGCCTTTCCCTTATTTTTTTTTTCTCCATCATGTCATTTTCAATTTCCGCGCTTTCAGCTGAAATCTGAATTTCCTTACTTTGTTTACTTTCTCTCTTTAGTTTCTTCTCCTCAGACCTCACTCCTCATCTCCTTCCTCGCTATAAATTTCCCACCATTCATCTCCCACATCCTCTCATAGGGTTTTCTTTTCTCCTGCGAGGTTTCCATAACCTCGCAGAAACAAGAAAACCCACATTTGCTTCTTAAATCTTGCTTCCATTATACACATATATATATATATATATATATACATATATATATATATTACTTACGGCTTAATTAATCAGCTAATGTTGTTTTGTTTGTAGAGTGCAGGATATCCATCAGAAAAAAGAAGAAGAAGAAATTCGTGGTCTGAGGCCGGGTGTTGTACGTAGTTTATGTTCAATTATATTTGGATTTGAATTTGATTTGCAGAAGAGAAGACATAAATGGAGGTACATTCTCATGTGAGGAGTTCGGCCATGGGCAAGAGGCTATGGAACTTGTTGAGGATCGCTTATTTTATGATGAGAAAGGGCTTTGTATCAAAGAGGAAGTTGATCATGGACATGAACCTAATGATGAAGAGGGGGAAACTCCTTGGCAAATCCTTATTGGGGAATCTCAATCTCATGTTCCAGTTCCACCATCATCACCACTCCAAAGATCTCCTGCGGACGCGTGCTGGCTTCGGTTTTGGTCTACACGAATACGAGTTCTCCTGCAGCAACAGCCCCAATCCTGTTTTTTTCCACGTGTCCAATAAGCGCAGGAACCATCTCTTCCCTCACTTCCCCTGCATTAATCCTCCGCCTCCGACTCCTCCTCGAGTTCCCGACGATGATCAACAAGAAGCTAATAATGAGGTGGCCAAGGCGGTTGTTGTGTTATCCAAGAAAGACTACTCCCCCGACTACTACAACTCATCCCTTTACAGCTTTCGATTTGATACATCCTCGGATCTTGCCCCGGGAGAGCAGCTCAGCCCTTTCCTCTCCCCATTCTCTATTAGAATATCCAATTACTCGTCGGAAAGCGAGGGTGACGGCGGCAACATGAAAGTCGACGACGAAGCCGAGGAATTCATCAGAAGGTTCTATGAACAACTGAGGATGCAAAATCGTACCCAATTGTTACAGTATCAGGAGATGCTTACCGGAGCCCGGGAAACTACTACCCAATAGTTCCATACCCTGTTATTTAATGCCATGTTCGTCGTCGACGTCTCGACATTAATTATGACCATTGATCGACAATTGTCATCACCCGCAGCAGCAGCGTTATCAATCAAAAAACTATTATCAGATGCAGTATCTAAGAAATTAAATCTTCCATTGTTTTACATGGGAAGATGTTTCATTTATATATTTGTATCTAAGTATTACAGTTCTTAATTTCCTTCCAAATCGTATATGTTTCTTTTTTCTTCTTCTTCTTTCTTAATTTTCTTTCCTTCCATTTGTGTTTTTTTTTTATGGATTCCCATTTGTATTGGAACTACATTATTAGTACCATGATCTATGATTAGGCTTCTGAGCTAAGGTGTGGAGTATGCTTTTGTTTTTGTTACATATAATAAATAGAGTTTKGAACTTTGAGTTGTCCTTTCCTTTCCAATATTTAAGTAATTTGTTTGTAGTTATGTATTATATATATGTATATATATATATACATGTGATACTGATGATCATAATTCTTAACAGTGGTCAATTGATTAGAACTTTGAATGAATGGCAAATATAAATTAATGGGTGACAGTATTTTGGTGCCAAATTAAGCTAATTAATCCGCATAATGCTCAGTCATAATCCGCTCCTTTTGTTTATTAATTTGTTTAAACTTTATTGCATCCACTTTTGCTTTGGCAATGGTTTAGGCTTTTCGGGTCCACGTCCAAACCCTTTCACCTACCTCTCACCACTTTTTCCATTCGAAAACACCATGGTTGTTTATTAGCTGCAGGTAGAAACAATAAAGTCAGTAAACACACCCATTTCTCACACACATATCCATTTCCCATTACTTTTAGTTGTTTCTTGGTGAAATGAGATGTACGTGTATACGTATAGCAAGCAGTAAATGAAATACAATATTAACCAGTTAAGCCAGCTAGGGCTTCCCCAATCTTTAATTCTTCTCTACGATTTTATTTCTTATATATTGTGTGGATTGCGGATAGGCGTAGACTCGGTCTAGAGAGGGAGAGAGAGGAAGGAGATTTTATTTTGTCTCTGTTGCTTCACATACAATTTAAGAAACGTACAGTAATATATGATGAATAAAATCCTAGAGTTGAGACTTGAGAGCTGGCTTATACCTACATCTGTCAAAGAAGGATATAATAGTTTAGTTCTAAAATTGTTTGTTAGAGAAGGCTCAATCAGGTCCAGAGTCCAGACTGTCAATAAATACTAAAGAAGAGGAGCAACAACCATACTTTTTCCCTCGCCATGGCCCATGCGTATGGATCTAAAGGTTTACGCAGTACCTTGATGCTTACGCATATATATATATATATATATATATATATATATATATATAAAATGTGATGACTCCTCACTGAATGATGACACTGACGTGGACCAATGTCGCCACCGGAATGGAATAGTTGGTGAAACTTAAAATTGTATAGGAATGATCATTAATTACCTTAGAAAATTACTTGACTCCGACCACACGGTCCACACCCAAGACATTCTACTGTAGAGACAAGACTGAATCTGCTCCTCACACCTGGCGTCTCACACGCACATCCTTCTATGTATTTGRAACAGTTCTCTTATTTATTAGTTATTATTCATAGGAGATGTTCTTAATGCACAGTAGATGTGCTTACGCCCATTTGTGAGGAGCAGATCCCGGTTCTTTGCGGTARTCATTGGTTAATGGGATTTTGACTTTTATTGATAAGATATCTATGTTAGTTTTTTATATTTATGTGAGTTTTATAGAAAATTTATTTTTGTCATGAATAATTTTTGCACCTAGTGAGAAAGTTAACAACACTTAATGGGACAAGATTATTCCTTTTAATAATGACTTTTTATAGATAAAAAAACTAAAATTGCCATTGTCTTATATAATGGATAAGTGCATCTACCCCGATAAATTACTTCCTAAAAAATGAACAGGCCATAGAAATTAAAAATTTAGCATTTAGATCTAAAAATCAAAAAGGTATAGGGGTTATGTCCTCCAACGTGGTAGCTACCAAGTATTGCCCAATTACTTAAATCTCTACATGTGTTTTTTGATATTTTATTATGCTTTCATTTTGACAAATACTTAAACCTCCTCCATAAGTTGAGATTGTGACCTATACCTTGTTAGACTGTGTATAAACATTGTTGTCCGTTATTTAGATTTGTCAAGTTCGCATCGTAGGGGCAGAAATTTTTCTACCGCAAACCAGTAACAATATTTCACACAACTCACACCAGCCTGTTTTTTTGATTTCAAAATTAAAGTGATTTTTTTTTAAATGATGTGACAGATTTCTATTCGTTTGGAAAAAAAAATTTGTCCTGAGGGAGAGACAATGCAAGCTCAGATTTGATAAATTTGTCTTTGTTGTACTTAACGAAATAAATAATGTAACCCATATTGAATTACTTTCTTTAAAAGTAATTTGATAAATCTGATCTTTGGTCCCCGTTTAGCCGATGTGTAATAACTTCAGCTTCAAAGATGTCTGTCATTGACCAAGCGAATACGTCTGCGTTGTTCCTCAATAGTTGCACAAGTCCTTCATGGAGGTGGTTGTCTAGTAGGAAGCCGACTTGTTCTGTCTTTTCGGGATCTTCTTCAGAGAGGGGAACTGGATGAGGTCTTCCACGGGTTGGCCGCATTGTGCCTTTACCTCGTCGCGTAAGTCATAGGCCTCCGCCATTAGTGTCTCGGCGGTTGGATGTGTTCCTCGACAGGAGAGTTGATAGCAATGTCGCGGTATTCTCTTGTCTCCGTGTGCCACCCCTATGTCGTACTTGGTTGGAAATTTCATGGCGAGGTGGTATGTCGAGACTACGACATACAAGGCGTTGAGGGTCAGCCTGCCGAGGATCACATTGTAAGAGGAGGGGCAACGCACCACGATGAAGTCTACCATGGCCGATCAAGAAGGGAAAAGTTATTCTCCCAATGGGCAGAAGGGACTCTCCCGAGAATCCCATCAAGGGAGTTTGACCGGCGTGAGCCACACTTTGTCGATGCCGAGCTTTTCGAATGCATCTTTGAACAGTACGTCGGCAGAGCTCCCTGTGTCGATTAGGATCCGCCGCAACTCGAAGTTAGCCACTTCGGCCGTGATGACCTAGGTGTCGTCGTGCGGTGTCTGGACCCCTCGGACATTGTCGTTGGTGAAGGTGATAGATGTGTTGCGCTTCTTCYTGTGACCCCAGTTGTCGATCTCGCATATCTCTTCCGACCTGAGCTGCTCTCCCCTCCGGCAGCGGTTCCTCCTGATATGACGTGGATAACGCTGGTTGGGGGGCCTTAGGGTGGCGGTTGTCAATCTTCATCCGTTCTCCACTCCCGTTGGGCTGGCTTCTCACTTTTGTCGATGAAGCCGTTAAGGTAACCATGCCTGATCAAATCTTCAATATGGTTGCGCAGGTCGAAACAGTTTTCTGTGTCATGGTTGTGGTCCTTGTGGAACTCACAGTATTTGTCTCAGTTCCTCTTGTTATTTTGTGTCTTCATCTTCTCAATCCACCTGTTGAAGTTACGGTCACAGATTTGTATCAGAATTTCAAACTACTGAATATTGAGTGGCATGAAATTCTGATTGGTCGGTGGAGGGGTCTGAGGTCTAAGGTATGGTCGGAGAACCTGCTTCTTGTGATCTCTATCCGACCTCTCGGACTTCCACTTATCGGTATCTCTCCTGTTCTTGTCGGTCTTCTCATCTTTGTCTCTGAGCTGCGTCTGAGCCTCTTTAGCGTTGATATACTTCTGCGTGTGACTCATTAGCACGACTAGCGTCCGAGGAAGATTTTTGGAGATGGATAAGTTGAACGGGGAAGGGCGGAGCCCATGCTATAGGGCCGTAACTACGATTGATTGGTTCAAGTCCCTGACTTGGAGTGCTTCCTTGTTGAACCTCGCCAGGTAATCTCTCAAGGACTCCGCCTTCTTCTATTGGATTTGCATGAGTTTGGCCGAAGTTTTCCAATGCCTCTAGCTAGTGGTAAACTGCGTTAGAAACTGGGTCTCCAGCTGGTCTCATGACGTTATGGAGCGCGGCGGCAGAGAGGAGTACCATGCCAAAGTTGGACCTTGCAGGGTAGCTACAAGGGCTTTGCACATCAGTCCTTCTGACGCGCCGTGCAACATCATTTGAGATTTGAGTGCCACAACATGGTTGAAATGGTCTGTGTTCCCTTCGTATTTGTCAAACTGTGGTGCTCGCCATCCAGCAAGGGGCATCTCGTCCATGATGTCCTAGACGAAGGGCAGCTCCTTGGCGATATGCGCGGTAGCCCACGCCGGCTGGTCCACAACGGGCATCACGCTCTTGTGGGTCTGAGTGCGTTCCAATTCTTCTAAACGTTGCTAGAGGTCTTTGATCTCGACATCTCTGTCATTTGGGGCCGCAGTGTGGGTGGCCTTCTCTTTCTTATGTTACACAGGATGGTCCTTTACTAAGCTTGACTCGGCAACGGAGACCACGAAGGGAGGTGTCCTCTTGCCAAGCCTCTCTTTGGTGGGGATCCGAACTGACTGGTGTTTCTGGCTGTGGTGATCCTACTCGCGGGAGTGAGCAGTAGAGGCGGGCCTTCGGGTCGTGTCCTGCTGCTCTCGCTCGGACCTCGCTCCCCTCACATCCGATTGACGTACTTTAGGGTCCTCGGTCCAAGGGTCATCCTTCGTGCGCGTCGGAGCGTGAGGGGGGACGGCCTGGTTGGGCGGTGTAGAATAGCTCGGAACTGCGCTGGGTCCACTACGACCGAGGGTTGCGGGACTTCTTGATGGGAGGAGTTGTGGTGTTGGTTCTCCTGACATGGGGAACGGCTTGTTGATCGTTCGAACTAGTTTTTAAGCATTTTGATCGGTTTTGGGGCTGCGCGGCAAAGGATTTTTTTTTGTTTTCGGGAAGGCTTTTTGTGCGTTCTCACAGACGGCGCCAATCTGATGCTGCTCAATTCGAGGTAGCGCACAAATTGAGGAGAGCAACCAGATAATCCTTGCTGACTGGGCGGTGCCGAGTTTGCAAGGACGGCGCCGCGCTATGTAACCTGTGATCAAGAGAAGAAGTCAGTGGCTTGAGGAGTTGTCCCCGGGTAGACACTTCGACGCTCAAGTCAATGAGAGGGCAATGAATGGTCGGGCCGAGCAATGAGGGTGCTGGTCCAAGCAAAGTAACAATATGGGTGCTAGAAGTTGGAATCCCTTACCTTGAACGAGTACCTTTTTATAGTCGGGGATCCGTCTCCTGGTCGGATTAGGGTTCCGGGATAATTGGGATAAAGCTCTCCGCCGAGGTTATCGGGGTAGAGTCCTACTCCTTGGCGGAATTGTCTTCCCACCCTTATCCGTAGTCGAGCTTATCTGCATGGCGTGGCTGTAGGAATAAGGTGGGGGACCACGATAGTAACATAGCTCAATCGAACTATGCTGATGTGACCGAGCTGAGCCGACATGGCCATGCTGAGCTAATGTGACCGAGCTATGCCAACGTGGTCAACCTAAACCGACGTAATCGAGCATGACCCCAACAATTTTAAAAAATTTTATAAGAATAATAGATAAAATAGTCTTTTTCACATCCTTCATTAGCGAAGATTGAACAAAGGAGAATTTAATCAATTGTTAAAAACCTTGAAAATAGTCTAAGATAATATATAATCATTAATAATAGAATTAATCAATTAGCTAAAACCCAAAAATATAGTTAAAAATTTTGTCCTTCGATCCATTCGACCTGACCATCCTTCTAGGTGTTTGTCTATTTAATTTCATTAATAAACCAAAAAACACAAATGAAAGACATGAATTGTGACGAACTATACCAAACTCCAACCCCAACATCGCTACATTAACAATTTAACATACATATAAAAAATCTGTATCTATCAGAAACAAAGAAAAAAGTATATAATCATAATAATAACAAAAATAAAACCAAAGCAAAGCTACGAACTACGAAGGAATAACAATAACCAAGTCCCTCAGCGCTCAGGCGTAATTACCTCCTCACCTACCATTCCTCAACATCCTTGCGTTTTCTCCATTGTCTCGTAAATACTCTCCCCACGTGTCAGTAAAGGCCGTCCCTGACTGCCCTCCCACAGCCACCTGGTAGTGGTACCCACCGTAACCTGATCCCAATCTGTTCCACTCCGGTGGCGTTGGATATACCATCGACGTCAGCGGCGGAGGGGGATAATATGCCACTTGCGCAATCGGAGGAGGTGGCGGGGGTGGTGCTGGGACCGGATAATAAACCTCCGCTGGGGCCTGATAATAAATTCCGGTTGCCGGCGGTGGTACATAATGTATGTCCGGGTACGGATAATGAATTGCCGGTGCGAGGTTATTGATGTGAGGCGATGGATAGTGAGCCTCAACTGACGGCACCGGAAAGCCACCGTTCTCGTTCTCGCTTGCCGGATACTTCTTCCCTTTATCATTCAGTTTATAAGAGAAATTCAAAACTCCATTTGGTTTTCCATCGGCAGACCGGACCTGATAACTGGCGAACCTAACGGATCCATCAAACTCATCCACCAGATGTTTGAACGGGACACGAACCTCTCCGATGCTCTTATCTCCGAAGATGATACCGTCGCAGCGCAAATCAAAATCGATAAAGACGTGATCGCAATCAAGAAAGGAGATATGTTTCAGATCGAATTCCATCTCGTGATTCCATTCGGGGTTTCCGTCTCCATTTCTGTCGATTGGTGTTCTCTGCTTCTGCGGCTGAAGTGGTTGATTTTGCTGTGATTCATCGCTGACGATCGAGACGACAGCGTAGACGGAAAGCTTCTGGAAGAAATTGAAGGCCTTCAGATGTCTGCAGGAGACCACTTTGAGTTGGAGGTTACAGGATTCCATTAGCAGCTGACCTCAATGTCTGGAAATCGGAGATACGAAAGGAAAAAAAAATGAGAACCGAGGAGGAAACATCCAATTTTGCTTTGGACGCCGTTCCATACTTCCACCCGCGTCTTAACAACTAACAAGAAGACGCGTGCCCGGTGTGCGTAGTGCGTAGTGCGCATCAACAATTTCCATTGACCCCTTCAAAATCAAAAGAGAACGTCATCGTCATCTCATCACGTCACGTCAATGAAGTCTCGAAACTCGAAAGTAACAAGAACTCAGACTTGACGACTCTGACTCGAGACTTAACCTTCCCAGTAAACAAGCAATGGCAATAGTAGCACGTCTAGTCTTGCGCCTCACATGCACATTCACCGTGCATTGGGAACATTTCTAATAATGTATAAGTACAGGAAAGGAAATGTTCTCAATACATAGTAGAATGTGCGTGCAAGGCGTGTGTGAGGCGCCCTGTGTGAGAGCAGATCCGGTCTCCGTCTAAGCCACGTCTCATGTTGAGATAAAATTCATTCATTCCAGCAATCTTTTTCCAAATTCCAACAAATGTATAACAGCAAATCTCACAGTGAGCGGAAGCCTAAATGTACGGTGTCAGATTATATTGAAAACTTTTTTGAACGATAATCGTGAGTTTGCGCTTACGTAACGCTCCTCACACTATGTCTTGGCCGCACATCAAAAACATTTCATGATTCTTCTAATACATAATCAGATGTAACTGAGAGGTCAGTTTGAGGAAGAGATCCCAATTTCATATGGCGTATTTTATGAATCCATCCAATTTCAGAGAAATCGGATTTGGTTTTTTTGTTTTTACAATACCCTCCTCACATTTCTTTGCAGCCGTGTATTAAGAATATCTTGCCATAAAAAAACAGGCCTGTGAGGACGATGTAAGGGCGGGTATGTAAGTACCAAATCCAAACTCATTCTGAGAGTCCTGCATGTGGCAGAATTGCAATCAGACGACACGGAGTTGCCTATATTCATGTTTATTTGTTTCATTTTTGAGGTACAATTTTTCATTTCCGAACATTTCTTTCTTTTTTATAAGCGTATCCTAAACATCTTGTTCTGAAAAAATAAAATAAAATTCATTGACATCAAGAAGAATATAAAGAAGATTACATTTTTTTTTATCTAATTCTTCCATTTTCAACGTCTGAAAGACAACAATACATTGATTTGTTGTTGTTGTTGGATCCAAATCAATCTGATCCGTTTGTTTTGTAGAAATAAGTCTTCGTGGGATTCATGCTTGCTGAGAATGATCTCCATTGGAAGTAGACTGTCGGTGTCCTTTTTGGCATTCATGAATCTCCATTCTATATTTTTCACTTTCCTTGCCGTCTGTGTTTCCTCGATATAAAATTTGAGCATTTATGACTGAATTTTGTCTTTTGTTTAAATAAAAGAAAGAGATCAGAAATGGTGATGTTAACATCGTAGAGCCCATGAATCTCGTCTTTTAGCATGTCTTCCCATAGGATCTCTATACTTCATGTTGCCACATGCAAGAATTACTTCTGGTGTAGTGCCAGCCTGCCAGGTAGCGTTGCTAGTCTAATCCTACTTAGTTGGACAATATCCAATTGTCCAAACAAGAATTTATATTTCAGGGGAAATCTATGAGCTCCAATTGTCCAAACAAGAAATTATACCAGAAACTGATCATTTTAATAAATCTTGTTCTTTCTTCTTTTTAACGGAATTTATTTCTCACGAATATGAGCTCCAAATGGCATAGAAACGGTTTTCTTCGGCAACCATTAGACAACTACAATATCGGTAGTTCCATCCACTTGATTGTTGATTTTTGCGAGGGAAAAAAAAAACAATAGAGGATCTTATTCTGTTTTCTTGATTTGAAATTGATCTCTGTGAATTAGTGTATTTACCTAAATTAACTAGTCTAAATCGAACTCAAAACTGTCGAATCAAATTTTTAGTATTAACAGAGGCTCTAGACACTGTTTACTTGACTCGAAATTGTAATCGAATCAATCTCCATTTAACGGAGGCTGCCTGTAGGATCTGTTGACTGTCGTTATTCTTGAATGGCTTCTAAATGCTGATGAACGGGTTGTCCATGGATTGACTTACTTTGGCCATTTTTTGGATCTCCGAATACCAGAAACGGTATCGCTCTTTAACACTATGCAAGTTGGATTACCAGACAGGCGCCAGCCATGTTTTTGTGTTAGCAGGAGAGTAATAGCCAAGTTGTTTATGATTTAGGCGTTTAATTATTGTTGAACAAATAATAAAAATATTTTTTTGATAGATAATAATTAAAATATTTTTAAATAATGCATCCATACTCCATACACACGCGTTGCATGTAACAATTTCATAAATAGGAATCAGTGCACTTGAAACACTATTGCTAAATGCAATTCACATGCCCACTTTTTTTTTTTTGCTGATGTCATAAAATCCTTTGAAAGCTAAAAATTAAAAAAAAAAACAAAATAATCCACAAAGTTGGAACTTAGAAGATCAGACTAATTTAAAGTAATCAACAGTGGAAGGAATTAAAAACTAATAACATTTAGCAGCTATGCTACCACCTTAGGTGCATTAATTCTACATGGATCAACAAAAATCATAAATCAGAAAGCAGTGGGATGTAAAATTATGAAGTTGTACCTCAAAGAGTTTTGCTCTTTGTCTGGAATTGAACTTGGGTTGCCGCAGCAATCTTCTTCCAGCACCTGATTACAATAAGGGAAGGTATAACAACCCAGGAGGCATTTGCTCCAACGTAGTATGCATAGTAATAGTATGAGCTCGCAGCAAAGTTGTCTCCTTCCAAGTAAGAAGTAAAGAAATACAATGCAGTCCCATACAGCTGCCCCAGAGAGATAGCAAACTGAAGTATAAAGCCATATGGCTTTCTGGTTGCTATAGCATACCTGCCAGGTCATAGAAACAAATGAATCAGCTTGGATGTGGAAGGGAAAAACTATTTAAAAAGGACTGAATATGGTTTCTTTAGATATAATGGTCCAAATAAATGCTGAGCAGGGAAAAAGTTGTTCAAAGAGAACAAAGAATGAAATAGGGAAAGATAGAATCATAGTACACAAAAAAGGTAAAAAAAATGTTGGTATAGTGCTGCATCAGGCAGCTGCCCACACTAAAAGTGTGCAAAGTTTTCCCTCACGCAGCAACCTTGGGACCAATGTTTTCGAACCATCGTTGATCCGGATGGTTGGACCATTCGGACCGAAAACCGTTCAAGCAACTGGTTCCGTTTTACCCCAAACCCGGCATTTGGTAAAAAACCGTTGAATTAGTCAACAAACCATTGACCTGGACAGTTTGACCGTTAAACTGTTTGACCTGGAGAACGGTTTGCTGTAAAGTTTTAAAAACTGAGAAATCTCAGATCTGTATCTCTCGCGCGAGAAGGTGAGAGAGATCTGAGATGTGTGAGACAGATCTGCGCAAGACGGTGAGAGAGAGTGAGATCTGAGACTGAAAAATCTCAGATCTGCCACCATTGCCGCCGCTGTTGCCGCTGTAGTTCGCCATCACCGTCACTGTTGCCGCTGTAAGTTGCCATCGTCGTCGCCGCTGCAAGTCCTCTTCTTTTTCTTCTTCTTCTCTTCTCAACTCTTTCAGTTCAGCTGACAGTTCTCTGAGTCTCAAATCTCTCTCATTCAAAGTTTCAACCCTTATTTTCTCTTATATAGTATGCATCTTACCCTAATATTCCAATCTAATGGGTAAGATGTTCAAACCATTCGAGCCGTTTGACCCGGACGGTCAAACCGCTGACGCAAAAACCGGTGGCCTGAACAGTTCCGTTTCCGGGTCAGTTTTTAAAACCTTGCTTGGGACAATTGACTAACAGAAAAATAGCAATAGAAATTATTTGGAGAATCATTGATAACACTTAGGTATGAAGCATACACAGCTAGAAGACTTGCTGGACCCTCTAGAACTGCAGTTATCCCTTCAACAGCAACAACATCAGCATCCCTTGCAGCGTATCTTGAATCTCCTTTGCTGTACTCCTTCCCTGTAAGGGGTTCCTCCAAGCATTATCTATCATAGAGGTCATAGAATAGAAGCAACATGACTGTCGACAAATCTCAGTACTCATGACGGGTGAAACCGTGAAAGCAGATAAAGAGCTTACAAACTTCTGCGAGGTAATGGGCACTCTTCTCTTTGAAGAATTCTGGAGAGAAAGCAAAGTAACCCTCAAGAATAATGTGTGTCAAGCCCGTAAAGGCAAACCAGCACATGAGTAACCTATCAGTCTTGGAGATTCTAGGTGCCCAACCTAGCATAAGCAAAAACTTAACAAATCAAAAGACATACAAACTATAGTACCTTTTCTACTTGTCAACTAATCATCAAAACTCTAGTTAATTAAATTGGATGGTAAGATGTGAAAATACAAAATAAGTTACAGATTTATGAAACCAAATTATGCACTTTCATCCTAAAAAATAAACCTTAAGTAACAATCTAAAAATTACCAATTAACAATTTGATCAGGCTTCAGAAATCCACAATGTGTCAAAAATTATGAAAACAACCCAATCTAAATGATGATTGGCAAAACTGTTTGAGGCAATCACAAACCATCCCGCTCCTAAAAATAAAGAACATTTATATAATTATATAGCCAACTTTTCTGCTAACTCCATACTAAGTGAGCAATAAACAAAAAATTAGGCCAATATTCTCATATATTCAGTTTCCTCATCAGCCTTATCACATTGGATGGAAGAATCTAGTTTCACAATTCTAGTATCTACTATCTAGGACCATATTAAGGTCAAAGAATGAATTGTCAAATAATTTTACAATACCTGAACTCGCATCCCCAGTATTTCCTAGCCCTTCCCTTTGCCTTTTAGAAACTTAATGGAAAGCATACCCAAGGCTCAAAGTATAAATATGTATCATATCATATCTTGGGGTCAGGGTCACCTATATGCCTTCTAAGGGGAGTTATAAGATTTTAGTTTTCCTTATATGATTAAAGGCCATTTAATAAGATGGTCGTCAAAAGACAAGGGAAAAAAACAAAAAAGAACATCAAAACAAAGTTTTGGTCAAATACAAACTTGCAAATTTTGTGTATCCAGATATTGATACTTTGAACGATGATCATACCTTGTCGCAGGTGCAATTGACATTCTCTTATGCGGCCAATATGTACATCTCAACTGCCATGAACATGAATTCCTTCAGACACTCATCACCCAAGAACTTATAATCAGGGCAATCCTAGGCTTTGTTTAGGGTCTTGTGCACCAGTACAGAAGGAAAAATGATCATTGTCACATTACGCTTATAACCATGAACATATGAAATATTATATGACAGTCTATGACCATCCCAGGAGATTCCTTTCACCAACAGAGATGTAATTGAGAATTGAAGAATGACCAACCATTAAAATGTACCACTGTAACATTAAAATATCAGCAGAATTATTGAACCTAGTTGTACTGTGAAAACAGTCAATTTATTGTCTTCCAAGTCAAAGCAGTAGGCAGGCAATAACATGGCAATTTTTTTCGGTTAGGCAACTAGAGAGGGCACTGGAAGGGTGATCCTTTGTGGATGTAATAGAAAACTAAGATATTCTCTTCTCTGATTGGACAAAAGCTATAAAATAGAGCAGCAATTAATGTTTCTTGACAGGTATCCATGTCTGAGTAACTCTCTATCAATGAGAAAGTTGTGGTAAAATCCCCAAATTAAATAGTGGGTCAAAGGCGCAAGTGCTGTGATCATTGGTATTTGCGAGCCATGAACAAAATTGATACTTTAGTCAATTCTTAGGAAGCAATAGCTTCATAAACTTTGAGGACAAGTTTACCAACAGGTGAATGGTGATATAATTTGTGATGTTTATAATGTCTCTAGGGCTTGATTTGTGTTTGCCATAGAGGTTAAGCAGATCATCAGAGCATGGTTTCAAATGTCGCCCGATATATGTCGATATTGAGGCTCACTAACATGAAAATAGATGGTAATACAAAAATTACATTATTTCGGTCGGCATTATTTCGAAAATATCGACCAAATCGATCCAAATAACCAAAAAAGACAGTTTTTCCTATTATATCGACAGGATGTCAACTAATGTACATTAATAATATAATATATTAGTATTTTATATTATTATAATATAGTATATTAATATAAAATATTCCATTAATAATTTCTATTTAGTATTTCAAATAAAATATTTATAAAAAAGAATTAACAAAATATAAAAACAAAAGAATAAATTAATTACTTTATAATATAAAACATAAAATATTTTTCAAGTAATAAAATATTAACTAGTAAGTATTTTTTAAAATATTTATTAAAATCAGAAAATGTTTATTAAATTTTATACTAAATCATAATTTATTATAAGTTTAGTATTAAAAATCATAATAAATTCATTAATTTTTATAAGAAATCAGAATTTATCATAATCTTAATACTACAAAAAGGAGAATCAGTTTATTAAATTTATAATAAAACATAATGTATTATAACTTTAATATTTAAAAAATCAGAATAAATGTATTTCTATTTACTAGTGTGAAATAAATATATTATAATTTAAAATAAATCAGAATTAAAAATAAGAAAAGAAAATATCAGATAACCTTGTAAAAACATCAAAATGCATAATAAATCAGTAAATCGCCATTAAATCGTCATTTACTAATTTGTTATTGATCTTAGTTTCTTAGCTTTATATAATGGTTGGGAATAAGATAATAGTCTAGAAATATGTATTAATGCTTCTTTTATCATTTTACAAAATATCATTGCATATTTCCACATATTTTATAATATTTCCACAATGTCTCTAATTTTTACAATATTTCCCCTCTACATTTCCAGCATTTCTAACATATGTCCTATATTTTGGTAAGCGACATTTCCATCGACAACGACATTTTAAACCCTGGATTAGAGTAACCTTATTTTCATCCCTTTTCTTTTTCATAACTGGATTAAATAATAGCCTGACAAATCCTAGGAAACATACAAACGTGTCAATGTGCTTCTCCAAAAAGAGAAAAGTAAACGGCATTTAGACCCTCTGATCTCTTCTAATTTCTAAATGTCTTCAAGAGGACATCAAGCTTTGAGAACAAAGCCTCACAAACAGGAGGTTTCTAAACCAAATACTGGTAGACTGGTAGACCAAAGGATGTATATATTCACCCAAGTTTTCCAAGTGACCGAATGCATGCAAATAGTTTTCCTTAAAAGTCGCTTGAACCTTGGATTATGTGCCCAGTTCGATGGTTATGTCACAAAATAGAAGAAGAATCCATTGGTTACAATAAAACATCCTCATGGTTTCTTGGCAAGGAGAGACAACTCTCAAGTATATTGGTTATTGGTACTCCACTTATAAGATTTTAGAGTTCAAGTGAAAAGAAAATAGTAATAATGCAAATTTCTTAAACTACCCTAATGGTTTACCCGTTTAGCTAATTGACTAATTCTACCCTTACAGTTTACATATTGTCTTAAACAACCCCTACTGTTTCTAATAATTCACGTCATCTTTAATCTTCTTCAATGGGAGATGAAGAGAGAGGTGGGAGATGTGGAGGGTATTCAATGGCAGCGGTAGGGAAGAGTAAGATGTAGGATGAATTGGAGCAACAAAGTTGATTGAACTTGTCTGGATTTGTGATATTGTAATCGAGCGCGAGAGCAGATGCTACTGTGGCTGTTCCATTAAAGGTTTCATCGATTGATACTGTTGTTGCCCAAACTGCTATTCACGTGCCACAACCATCTAGGGGTTAACTGAACCGTGGGGTATTTTTTCAAACTGAACCAACCTAATCGATTTTTTAAATATCCAAACCGAAACCGAACCGATGCAATCGGTTAACCACGGTTCGGTTTTTTTATGCACTTAAAATGTTAAAAAAAAAACTAAAACTGTCGGTGGTTGCTATCGGTTGTCGCCTAAAGTGAGAACTTGAGAGGTGGCACATGGAGGAGCCGCAGAGAGGAGAGGCGAGAGAGAGATACACATACAGAGATCAGAGTGAAGGGATGGGAGATCCATCATATGGATGGTCGAACCCTGTAGGAAGGTTGGGCGAAATTTCAAAAATTTCTTTACGCCCATCCGGGAATTCTATTCCCAATTTAAAAACTGCATTTTCAAGGTTTGTTCTTGTAACCAAACCAGACCAATCTGAAACCAAATTAAGGGAGGGATATACCTGATACGGAATCCATGCAATAATACTCCTCCCAACGTAGGTGTTCACGCCCAAAGAGAGTACCAAATCCTCCCTCCACCGAAGATGGCACAGCTTAGGGTGAGGCAGGATCAGCAGGTAGTTCTTCACCAAGAACTAGAGATTCTTCAGCAAGAATTGAATGGGACAATGAGTACAACTTCTAGATTGTTTCTTCACACAAGAAACAATATCAAGATCCAATCTTGATCGAATCCAAGAACTGGAGATCGAACAGGGTGGGGCAGCAAGAGCAGGAAGAAAAGGAGCAGAAGGCAAGAGTAGTCTAACTGTGTTGTCTTCTCTCTGTATTCAGCGAATGTATCTTTTGGGGTTCGCCCTGCTCTCTTATTTATAGCCTTAAAGAGACAACTTCCTAATCCCATTAGGAGTTTCCTAATCCAAATCTTTTATTTGGATCTGGACTCTTTAAGTGATAAAGATAAACCCTTATCTTATCTGCAGATAAAGATCAGCATTCCTAATCAAATTAGGAGTTCGTTTGATCCAAATCTTTATTTGGATCTGGACTCTTTAAGCGGATAAGGATAATCCCTTATCTTATCTGTTGATCCAAATCCTAGATCTGCCCCTATTTAATTAGTCTAATTAACCCAGTTCAAAATGGGCTTTTAGGCCCATTAAGCTTTCAGGCTCACTTCCACTTTAATGCTGGCTAACTTGGCTCTCTTTGTATGGCGTGGGACCCTATCATTGATCTACACATCAACCACATGGGTTCAGTCTAGCCTCTATTACAAGACCTGGCCGAATTCACTGCTGAACACAGTGAACCCCTGAGTCCATCACTATGGGCTCATAATGAGCCCAACATTTTCACTAAATGGTTATTAGGTACAGCCATCTTATGAAGGCCCAAGGACTGTGGGCAGATGCAAGATTAGCCCATCAGGTATAACCCTCAACGGTCTTATACTTAACCTCTCAACCCATAATGATCAAACACTGTCCGACAAAAGAGGACCTCTCCCTCGGTTGCAAGGTGCAATGCTGCACTCTCTACTCACATGKATCCCAGGAATTAAAA